CACCAAGGATATTCACTTTTACATCGGAAACCATCCTCAAAAATTGAAATTGAAGCATTATTTCGACTAGTTATGCTGTACACAGACACAAAAAAAAAAAATACACACATCATTGTAAAATCAATACATTCATCACTTCGTTCAGAATTTAAAATAAATGAAGATTTTTTTACATATTTTATGGTAATACGTAGGTACTATGCTTACATTTTAAAAGTAATCTATATGTGTACTAAATTGGTGCGTTACAGATATAATGCTTTGGAAAAAAAATTAAAACTCTAGGAGGTCAAATGCACCGTCTCCTCTCCCTGGGGATGCCCATGCTAAGTGACATTGCATTTTGCAATCATACCAGCCAGTGACCCCCACCCCCTCCGACATACTATTTCTCAAAATTTTTTTATAAATCTACACATCGTGTTATTACTATATTTCAAACCACATATATAATATAAGAATATAACTAATATATAATACATTAAACAAGTTGGACTACACATCGTAACTCACAATCTCGTTTCGCAGGTGCGTTTCGGAATTCACCGAGCACAAGAAACATGTAAAATGCGGTTTATCGGCTAGTGGCAATGACAGTGTAAGTCCATTGAAGAACGTTGACGCCGAGTACGAACGGTTTAGTGAGAGGACGCAAGCAGCGTGGCTCACACTCATGGGCCACGAGGACAAATTGTCTAGGAAAATAACGGTTAATATTTATAATAAATAGTACTTTAGACTTTAGAGCTTTAGTCTATAGACTTTTAGAATATAATGTGTTATGRTGGATTGWAGAGAAAATGGATTGAACAATTTAGTAGGACATTTTCATTCTCATATTTTTCTTTTATTTTTATCAACAAATGCACAAAGAAATGTATTATGTATTATTAATTATTTATTATTTATTGCGATCATTAAATCGATTGACGATACTAATTTGATACTCGGAAGGGCAAGAGAATTCAACTGAATCTCGCCGCTTGAAGATCTCTAATACATTTTATTCCTTTTCAAATACGAAAACTGTACTTTTAACGATATTGCTAACCACCATACAAAAATATATTCCTAAAGACTTAGCGCAATACTCACATTAGTCACTTTTGGAAAAAGTATCTTTATACATTTTGGTATCAAAAA